ATTAAAACGTCTATATTAGAGCTAAAGTTTTACAAAACATGTCGGAACGCAGCATAACCTATTTATATTTCGAACGCCATCGCTAAGAAACATCAAAGCAGGTATAGCGCCATCTACCATCACAAATTGTGATTCATTTTGGTTTATAATTTATTATTGCGAGTATAACAGATGGCAACCGTGTGCTACCGCCTAGAAAAAGTCATACGAAGTAAACACTTCCATGCACCAATTAACCTTTGACAAGAAGTTTGTGTATAGGCAGGGAAAACACCATTGTCACGTGGTATATAGCAGCTACGCTGGAATAAGCGTATGCTCTCATCTTACACTTAACATCGCGGAGCTCCGCTTTTAGGCAGTGCCTAAATCTGAATAGTTATAAAAACGTTAAATAGGCCCGATCATTTAGGTTGTAACGCCATCACTCGCCCACATCTCAGACTCACATCTCAAACATTTATTTTCACAGTAAAAATTACACATAATTATTAAGGAGTATATAATGGGAGTTCTCCCATATATACCTTCCGTTTCTATAATGTACTACGTCATGATGTTGCCTCAATTAAAACTGACTTCTCTCACTCACTCATTCGTGTCTCTTTTAGCTCATCTGACAAGTCAGATGTAGCTCTAGTACTATAGCCCGCGGATCGCTGCCGCGCAGGGCTATAAGCACATTCTGCCATAGATGTAATCTAAGCAAAATGGTCCAACTGAGAGTACCAAAAATTTATCCCCAAAACGTAAAATGATCGCGGCTTTTTAAACACTTATCTTATCAACGATGGACAATCTCACCTATCTTTTTGAACACTTCCACAAACTTTACACCCAGGGTATTTATGCTGTTATCGCTCGAAAGTCTAGCACTACTGCTGTGTTTTGTTTTCAAATGCGGCTTGCTCTGCTTACTTGTGCACGCGTGACCTCTTCAGTGCTAGACTTGGCAGAATAACCAGCATCAAACACCTGGTGTAAATGTGGAAGTGTTCAAAAGATAGGTGAGATGTCCATGTTGATAGATAAGTGTTAAAAAGCCCGACGATCATTTTACGTCTTTTGGGATAACATTTTTGGGTCACATCGAGTTGGAGCCATTTGCTTAGATTAAACATCCTATGGCCCAGAAGGTGCTATAGCCTGCGGCGCAGCGACCGCGGGCATAGTACAGACTAAGTCAGATGCAGCTTGTAGAATCGCATGATCGTCCGTCCGATGACGACGGCGGGCGTCCGTCACTCCGTTCAACAGTTGCGGCACAAATCTGAAACGGCTCGACGTACGGTCCCGATATTCGGGACGTGGGGGGGTAATCGAAAACGAGTGGGATGTCGAAGCAGGGGATCAAAGCGTCAAAGGTCAAGAGTCTGTAAAAAAGGGCGCGAACATTCCCTCCTTCAACTTAAGATAGCCGAGGCAAATGCACGAATTGCGGCACAAATCTAAAAACGCTCCTCGACCCTAAGGCTGCGTTGAATTAGTCACGTGGTGTTGTAATATGCATCATGGTAGGAAAAACGCCATCAATGTGCCGAAATTGGAGTCACAGCTCCGCGTCAAAGGTCAATGGGGCACACACTCGTGGCAGATTTTAGACATTTT